TGATATGAAATATCTACGTTATTTTCTGTGAATTTTAAAAACGATTTTTTTTCACGCCAATTTTTCGATGCGGACGCGATCGGCTCGGATAATAAAATTCCCGCAAAGTGTACTTCGGGGAGCCATCGGCGGTGTCGTATACGGGGCCGTTTTTGAGAATCCCCAGGATTTATTCTTGCGCCTTCTACTTCATTACCTGCGCCGCATCTCCGTAGAAATTCTAACTTGCCAGCTGGAACATAAAAAACTAATCTCGCACCGCACTCTGGAATATTGCCGCGGACGTGGAAAAGGAGATTCTATAAAGCAGTAAAATGTACTTATAGGGGTGTGGGGTGTGGAGATGGGAAGGAAATGTAAGAAGTGAAAATAAAAGGGGTTATTTGTTGAGTTGTAATATAAATTGGGAAGTACAGTGTGTTAATTAATTATCGTACCCGACATCATCATTGCAAGTATGCAACCAACATCATAGTGCAATACGCATCATACGCAAATCACGTATTGCAATAAAAATACTGTGATGTTGGTTGCATACTTGCAATGATGACGTCGGGTACGATAATTAATTAACACATTGTATTTACGCATTCATTTAGTATTACTTTCTTGCATATGCAAAGTATTTGCAGAGAATTTATTGTAATCGTCCAAAAACTGTATCAAGTTTTGGACTAACTCCGTGAACCTGAAGTGGCACTTAACCTGAAAGTATATCAAATGTTTTCATATAACCTTGCAGTATAAATATAGGTACACGTTTAATATGATGTATATTTATCTATAGGTGAACGTTTTGGAGCTATTCTTAGTCTATAAGTGTGAATCAAGTTAAGTTATGTAATAAAGTGTTACGTGAGGTTGATTTTTATTTATTTCTTATGATAACAATAGTCCAGTAGATAACAGCATTAACATAAGAACTACTATATAAAAGATCAAGGTGGATAATTGTTGGAGACACGTGCGCATTCAAACTGGTTTTTAATATTCATTTCAATAATCGCTGTGTACCAGAAGCTAAATCTCTGCGTCTAAACATTAACAATAGCTTCATATTTATTGAGGCAAAACAAATTATTCATGATAAAATGCACACATTTTTGAAAATTGTTGATTGTTTGTTACATGTTGAAATATTAAAGTTAGGAACAGATGGAATTAGATTATGTGGTGTTGCATAAGATTGGTACACCTCTCAACAACCCCAGATATTTGGGAGATATCAGGCACTATCCTGGCCTTTCCCAACATCTCACTCATCATTTATCAACATCTGCGTTTATATCGTAACACTATAACTGATAAACATATGTCAACATCATACCTGATATTTCTCAACATGCTTTCTTATATACTTCATCGTTGATAGTATTTATTAATATCGCCTATAACAACCCTCTACACTTTCACTAATATCTTACATAATCCCTAACATCAATTAATTGTATTCTGGCATTTTTCAATATCATTAAAGACGAGATATTTCTCAACATCGTTCCTGATATTCTTGATTAACAATGATGGCCAAGCCTTCCCCAATATCGTCGACGGCATCAAAGTTATCACTGACATATTTCCACACATTGTCTTTTATCAGTTATATTTTTTTGGGGTCTTCTCTTTAGTCTTTCCAGTCTCTGTATGTACAGGCTGGTTCAAATTCGATGTCCGAATAGACTATCTCGAAAACTATAAGAGTTAGAAAAACTGTAACTTACATGTCTCGATCTCTTTTTTTAAATAAATTCCTCTGTCTTTTGTTTTTCCAGGGCAAAATTGAAAATATTGTAAAATCAATATCATAATTTTCGTTTTCTTAAATGGAAACAACCATTGATTATTCGCTTATTAAATTCGTAATTTTTTTCTGATTACAAAAATATAGGCTTCGACAGGTCTATTTCTTATTGTTTTAGAATAAAGCTAAAAATAAACTTTTTTGTTAGTATCAGGTTTGTTCCAACCAGCGGTTTGACTCGTCGTGGACTCGTCAAATGCAATCGCACAGTTAAATAATGCAATGAAATCCGCTGAAATGTGACAACATTACTTGACATGTGCGATTGCATTTGACGGACTAGTCCGACCGCTTGTTGGAACAAACCTATCGTCGAAGAAATGAAATTTACAGTTTCCTGTAAATTACGGTACTATAGCTAAAAATTAAAAAAAACATATTTCTGCAATCCAAAACAATGCAACCCATTAAATATTTCCGTATTAACAGTTGGTGTAATAAACATAATTATTTGTTTTTAAATACCAGAAAAATAACACCCCGTAATTTACAGGAAACTGTAAATTTCATTTCTTCGACGACACTAGATTTCGGAGGCATTTAAAAATTTTATAAAAAAAATTTATTTTTAGCAATAAACCTGTCGAATTCTCTATAAAAAAGTGTCCATATAATGTCTAGTTATAATAATCAAGATAATCGCTTGCTTTTTTTACGATATTTTCAATTTTGGCCTCTAAGGGAAAAACAAAAGACGATAGCACTTTGAGGTTTTCGACATTGGAATTTATTTAAAAAAGGAAATCGGGACATGTAAGCAACTTTTTTTCTAACTCTTCCGGCCAGTTCCTTTTTTCTCTTTCCAGTCTCTTCAGTATCTTTCTTCTATTATCAGTTTCATATCAGCTTCCCTCTCTCTGCAGAGTTTCTTTTTCTTATTTCTTTTTCCAGTTTCTATTCAACTTTTCTTTCTTATTTTGAATCCCTTTTTGGTATTTCCAATCTCTGTACAATCTCTTTCCACTACTAAGAACCCCCTTCTTGTCTTTTCAGTCACTTTTCAACTTCTTCCTTCTGTAGCCAGTCTCTTTTCAGTCTCCCTTCTTCTTATCAATCATCTTTCCCTCTGTCCAGCCTAATCATTTATGTTTAACTTCTCTGTTCAGTTTCTTTCTTCTATTATCAGTCACTTTACGGTTTCCCTTCATCTGGACAGTGATTTTTTATCTCTTTCCAGTTTCTGTTCAGTGCCGTATTCTCATTTTTGTTTTTTTAATTACCAGTTTTGTTTTCAGTCTCTCTTCTTCCGGCCAATCATTCTTTCCTCTGGCCAGTTCCTTTTTTTCTCTGTCCTGTCTCTTCAGTATCTTTCTTCTATTATCAGTTTCATGTCAGCTTCCCTGTCTCTACACAGTTTCTTTCTCTTATTTCTTTTTCCAATTTCTATTCAACTTTTTCTTCTTATTTCGAATTCTCTTCTGATATTTGCAATCTCTGTTCAAGAATTTTCTTCTATTATCATTCTCTTTTCAGTGTCGCTTCCTTTGCCCAATCTTCTATCTCTTTGCCCAGTCATATTTTGACTCTTTCTAGTCACCATTCGGTTTATTTATATTCTTAGCTCCCTTCTTATCGTTTTTCAGTCTCTCTTCTTCCCGCTAGTCTACTTTTCGTCTTCCCTATCTCTTTCACGTCCCTTTCTTCTACTACCAGTCTCCTTCTTATATTTTCAATGTCGATGAAGTTTCTTTCTTTCATTACCAGTGACTTTCCAGTCTTCCTCGTCGTTGCATAATTTCTTTTTTCTATTCCAGCCTGTATTTAACTAATATCTATTGTATAAAAACAGTAACAACAATTTTTAAGCCAACCCAACACAACTAATACAAATTGTGTTATCCAAAAAAATAGGAGGCAGTTAAAAACCGTTTAATAAAATTTGAATATATCCATTTAGTTGTATATCAAGTAGATTTTGACCCTAAAGTCATGAAAATGTCCTTTCTGCATCTCAGAACGTCCATTGCTTAGAATTTTATATAGATTTCTGACGATAACATATTGATTACTAAAACCAATCTGCGTTTTAATATTTAAATGTTAAAGACATCTAATACGTAAACTACTGAAAATGATGTAGGTGCAGTCATTCCTGAAACTAGATGGAAAATTGAGTGTTGCTACGAGCCTGTATCATCTTTGAGCAACGGTAGCTTATACTTACAGTTTAGTGGATCGTTTTATATTACCTTTAAAGTAGCTTAACAAAACGCTAAAAAGAATCGTTGCCAATCAATCAGGTAGCGATGCAAATGAGTCCAAAAAACAACTAGTTTATTTTAAAAAATTAACACCTTATTTCAATTAAAGTTTATTCGTATTAATAGATTATGAATCATGAATAATAATAATTAAAAAATAATAATTTTTCAAAAACACTAAAACGTTGAGTGTGGGCCACTTCAGCTGTCACTTGTCAGATAACAGTCACTCTTTTATGATTAATTGAATTTCATTTTATTTGTGTTTTTAAATACACTCAAGCTTATTTTTAAGTGTGGATTATTTTTAAAGCACTCAACAAAATTCAAATATAACCGCAGATAATGATGTTTTTCATGGCAACTAAATCTGCATGCAAAACTAAACTTATTATACATAAACATACATAAACAAAACTTATGTATAACTTATGTAAACTTATGTATTTATTACTCATTACAGCTTCGTGTTGATTAAGATTATAAGATTCACTTCTACATCGCAATACTTGAAACATAACCAACATAATTTACTAGTTTGTACTAAAAATGTTTTATAAGAATTATTTACTTTTTATGTATATTAAGTTGCATATCTTTCAATTATTACACCGTCTACTCTACAGTTAACTACCAAAATCAAGAAACCATATTAACCGAATTTTCGTCTACCACGCAAGAGATGGGGCGAAACTCAAAATAGATCAATAGTTTAGTTCTTACTATACATTTGGCGCTGTCCGAAATATCCATTGGCGTAACATTACCTCAAGGGGCCAAACAATATTTAAACACACAAAATTTTTTAGTTACACACAATTGATTAACCCAGTACAAATCACGTTAAACTGAACATTGATATTCAAGTTTATCTGGTTTTATAGACGATTTTTAATTGTTGAAAGTAGTCAGTTTCCACCGGTACGCTACTGGTTCGAACCGATTTGATCGTGTTTGCCTGAGTAGAGAACCCTGGTAACCAATCGCGACGCTGTTTTGTGCATTACAACATTGGCATAACCAGAATCTAGTTGTGTGGTGCGTTAAAAAGTGTTCGATTTGGTTTTCAACGAATTTTAATATTAAAGGTAAGTATCAAAACGTTTAAACAGAAACGTTTGAGTGTTTTTAACAGGTTAAAGGTAAACGGAATTAACAGAAGCGGTTATTTGGGTTTTTAGGGTGTGGGATTCCTATGAATTGTGGTACCTAAACTAGAAAAATCAATAATTTATATCGCATAGCCTAATTTTCTGTAAGGGTACGGGGTCGATGATTTACATTTACCATCGGGTTGGGAATTATTAAACTTGATTTATTAATACTATTAAGCATGTTAATTTATCTTAGAAAAAGTGCACGTAACTCTCTTTTTTGATTAAATGTTTTTGTCTTATCTAAAATTTCTTTATTTTGTGTAACAATTGTTTATTGTAACATTTAAGCGCTTTGTTTGCATGGTTTTGGGTTCGTAATTTTTTTTTCTTAAATTGATCTGTTCTCAAGGCGAATATAAATATACTTTATTTATAATAAACTTATATTTAATAAAAGAAATTATCACATTTCTCAACGTCACGAAATACTTTAAGATCCTTGAACGAGTCACATTACCTCATACAGCTGGTTTAAAATAATTGGTTCCATTAACGAAATCATTTTTGCCTAAGGTCTTTTTTTTTATTTCGTCATATTAAAATTTTACAACCACATTCTTTATCTATGAATGTTTTGTTAAAGTAAACGAAGATTAAATGTAATACGATAAAAATCGGAACCACAACGCAACGATTTTTGCCGCTATATCGATCCGTGCGGTTTGTTACACTATATCTTTGTGGTTTATTAGGTTTATGGAGAGAAAGATGAATTAAATATAAACAAAAATTAATTAATGGGTTATTAAAATATAGAGGAATAAGAAAATAAGTTTTTTTTATTAAGAAGTTATGTCATTTTTTTCAATGGTACCAACTTAAATTTGACCGAAAATTATACACTGTGTACAGGGTGGCCAAATGAGCGTGCAAAGTATTGTATTTCAGAAACTAATAAAATAGTAACACTATTTTTTTAACTGCGCCTGAATATCGATAGGGTGTGCTAGATGAAAAATACTCAAAATTGTACGTAATATCCATAAATGCAACAAAAGATGAGTCAATGAATGTCAAGTTAGTTTAATTTTATCTCAAAATATGCCCCTTAGAAAATATAACATAGATGTCCAAGCCTTTTTTCTGGAAGAATATCCCCCGAATTTTTATCGAATTGTTTCCATACTTTATATACACAGTATATAACCGTTTATAGTATGTACCCTTTTAGGGCTGGTTTAATATATAAAATTTAATAGAAATAGAAGTTTTTGCAATTCAAAATTGTGTTGGTGACAAAGATTGATTATTAAAATGCTGAGTTTGTGATACGAAAGTTTTATCTGTTTATATTTATTGATAAAATCTGTTGTTGGAGTTGCATAATACACCAATTAAGTTAATGTTACATTTTCAATATAAAATATTAACTTTAAAACTTATATAACAGTACAATCGATAACTTATTTCTTTAAAAAAAATGAAGGAGATATTTTGATTTAATTAAAAATGATTCTAACCGACCTCATTTTGTTTCTTAACACTTGGTACTAACTTAAAAATGTTATGGCAAAAGAATTATGTGACACAGCTACGATGTTGCGACTTGGACTTTAAAAAATATATGCAATTTTTTAGTATCATGCTGTTTTATTTTCAATTTTGTTTTGATTCATATCAATTGAATCCTGAAAAATGCCATAGAAGCATCATTTCAACAAAGATAATTTGCTTCTATGTAGTGAGTGAGAATGTTTTTGAAGCGATATAGCAGACTATATACTATTCCATGAAGGTCTTCGAATAGTAAAATATTTAAAGCACCTTTTTAATATAGTTGAGAATGGATATCAGAAGACGCTGAAAATATTCCCAACACAATGTGCTTATGCACGCATTGGTACGCTTGGAATCCATTTCCACTGGTAGTTATATTAGAAGGTTAATAAAAACAAAAGCAAAAATTTTCTGATATGGATTTTCTGTATATGGATTCCAATCTGTCAACCAGAACTTTAATGTGAAAGGTTTGAATAGAAAGAATAAACACTCAAAGTTTGGTAAATAGTGTAACTCTAACTATTATCGAGCCTATACATCTATTATCTAACCACTGACAAGCTAAAAGTACAGAGATAGAATCTAGAACCTAACCAGAATTTAAAAAATGCCAGAACAATCAGAAAGAATGGAACAAAGAATCTAGAATAAAAAATAAACAAATCGACAGACAGTAGATTAGTACGAAAGTCAAAAATATTGAAAAAGCCAAAGGATCCAGAATGAGAAGATAAAAGTATGACGAAAACTCGAAATAAGGTGGAAACGCAAAAACAGAGGAAGCAATTAAAACTATACCAAAAACCAAAAAAAAAAAGAAATTAGTAACAATCCAGAAGACTCTATAATACATTCTAAATAGAATTGCGTTTCACAATTCATATTTGTTTAAAGGTAAATGTTGCTAATTGAGATAGTTACAGTTTCTACGCTTGGGTTAGCTTGTACTTGTATGGCACAAAATCCTAATAGTAAGTCGGTAAAAATAATTTAAAAGATGCCAGAAAGCAAAAGAAGAAACAAGAAATCTAGAGTCTCTTTAGTTTAGATGTCTTTTTAGAAAGAAGAGTCAAAATCAAGAAAGTAAGGGAGTGAAAAAGTTGGTAATACTGAAGCATGAAAAAAAACTGAACCCGAGTGAAGTGGAAACAATGTAGAGATAAAGGAAAAAAGAGAAAGTAAGATGTCAGAAGTAGAGTAGAAACGTAGTGAAAAAGCAAATTCTAGAAAGATACCTGTAAAGAGAAAGAAAGATAATTAAATCAGAATCTAGAAGATGCTAGAAAAGCCACTAAGAAAAAAAAATTAGTATAAAAAGAAAGAAACAAAATAATTCATAAAATACATCTTCCAGAACAGAAAAATATCCAACCGAAGTAAGAAAGGAAAAAGCTACAAACAAGTTAGAAACAGCTGAGTAGATGCCAAAACGGAAAACGAAAGATGCTAGAAGAACCAGAACTAGACAAAGCGATAATAAAGCAAATACTTGAAAAATATCACATAAAAGAAAAGAATGACTCCAAATAAAGCCAGATCGAAGACAGGACAAAAAGTTGCTATTTCAACGATCTTTCTGTCAGAATGCTGTATCTTGAAGGTTAAACTTTTTATGTGGTCAACAATTCATCTCAAATTATTGAGTTCTCCTCTAGTTTCATCCATTGCACCATTTGCACCAGCTATTTCTGCCTGCTGTACAATTTGATGTCGTGGATTTGATTCTATTGAACGTTTGTGGTAGAATCTTGCCCAAATTCTTTCTTCCATCAAGTTTACGTATTGGCGAATGGATAAACGATAAAATTTAATGAGCTTATCAGTAAGTTTTTCAGCTCTTTTTCCACCAATTTCTTCTCTTCTTGACATGACTTAATCATTCTTTTTTCATTACTACACCATTTTCAATACTTGAAAAAATCGGTTTTTTGAACCAGTCACACAGGATGACCCTTCTTAATCATCCTGTCCAGATTATCTCAATCCTGCATGGAAATAGAGCCCGAAATTTTTGGCATAACGTACATAAAAGGTTTTAAATGTGCAGAAATTACCTCGTTATCTCATTTTATGAAATTGTGGTTGCAGATACATCCTTGTTTTACATTTAGATTCTATTATAAATTTGTGGACGGATCTGTTTCAGCCAAATATTCATTATATAATTGATCTGTAGTTGAATTTGATTTTTTACATTTTAACACATAAAAATAATGCTTCATTTGAAAAATAAGTATTTGTAGATTTTGTTCTTCTTGTTACGGTTGTAGCAAAATTGTTGCATCATTTTCCAAAAAGGTTCCCAAAGTTGTTTGAGAAAATAAGTTTAAAAACTTTCAACCACCTTTACACACTCGATATATACCGCGCAGTGTATGATTTTTCATAATTTCTGATAACTCCTGAATATACAATTTGTTCAAAATAATGTTGGCAACAAAACATGTTCATATTCGTTGTCAAAATTCGATTGAAACCTAATTGAAAGCATATTTGATGCAATTCGAGGAATAAAATTTAGATAGATGTTTCTGAAAACATAGCCTAATATACAAAAATAAACCAATTTCAACTAACAATAAGAATATAAGCAATGTGTACATACAAACATACAATACACGTTATGTTATTAACATTAAACATAACGAAATTGTGCATGAACCTCAAATATACCTTCAATTACACGAATTAAAGAGACCATTTATTTTTGAAACAATTTTCCTACAAAACATTTAATAATAGTGTAATTTAGAACACATAATTAGGCAATACAATAAAATGGTATTATTGTTTTAAAATTAAAATTACACCAATTTTTAGAACGTGTAAGGTAATTTGCAAACAATAATTTTTTACGGTATTGTTACATTGATAAGTAATCTATCTGTAATCACCGTGCTTATCGGCGTTTTTTTAATTTTTGGCGCCTACCTATAATCCTATGTAATAATTAAACCATTAAGTAGTATTTAGTATAAATATCTCATTATAAAAGACTTGAATTAATACTTGAGTTATAAACCAGCTGTAAGATTAATGTACTTAAGAATTTTTTGATTTAAAGCTTTGTTCCAATTTCTTTAACTCGTTGTTATTCCTTTGGGGTACAGTAAATTTACCCATTTCTTGTTTTCAAGCAATAAATTTTAAAAAGCTGGTACAAACAGCTCTTGCACTACTCGTAGTTGGCAACTTTCCAACCAAAATATAACCCATACGAATTGAAATTATTTATTGTTCTTACAAAAATCCTGTAATATCAAATAAATAGATTTGTTATATCATCTTGAGAACGGATCATTTTTAAATGTTGTCTTGCATTTTTAACGGAATGATGTACCTTAACCTGTAAGTCTCCAGCGATGCCCGTGAGTTTGGGTGGTTCGTACCAGTCTTTGACCGGTACAGAAGACGTATATCGTTCGACAACTGTGACTGGAACACAACAGAACGTCTTGGATACAGTAAAGAAGGCCCTCAGTTTTGTTTCCGGATCCGGCCCAAAAGATGAAAAACTCATCGCAACCAAACCACAACCAATCGTCATCAACTCAAGGTAGGGTATGAGTTCAACGGACAGAAACAAAGAAAATCGTACGAGACGATCATTTCAAAATTAAAGATAAATATACAATATTTTGTGCTACATACATTTTTTTGCGTGTTTTAATTTCGCTGGATGTGGCTTGTATTTTTGCATTCGCATGTGTTTTTTGCGACGCATGCAATCGTTTTACGTTTTACATTCGTTGAAGAGCTTCACGACGATTTATACTTGGGAATGCTTTGTGTTGTGTGGACGTCGTTTTCCAGGTATTTGTGAAAAATATTCGTTTGGAAGAGAAATTTCGAGATTTATTGACGTAGTTGTAATGACTTAAATCAATAGTTTTTATTAAAAGAATTTGTCATAATTAAAATATAATTTTAGATAAATCAAAAAAAAGAATGTTTTTTAACATTAACTTCGATCGTTTCAGCTGCTTTGTTTTCAGTGATCCTATTTCAGGGCTACGTGAAGGTCAGTGTAGCTATTCTTAAATTCTACGCATTGACACTTCCCCCTTTTACGCTGTGTATGTAAACAAAACCATCGTCTTTAAAACTTTATTATCCGAGTTCCTCGTTATCAAGCTGTTTAAAATTGTTACATTTACTCGGGTTGTTGTTTTATTGTGCCAGCTTCAGACGGTGACACACACAGTTTTAATTCAAAACAAAATAATGTAAGTTAGCATATTTCTTTTATCCTTTTGTATTACACGTTATAAATGGAAATTGATTTCTTTTATTTTCATTGATTTCTATTCGTGGTCATAAATAGTAATCGATCAATATTTCTATTAATCGTTTCGAATTGTTTTGTGGTGTGATCTCGTTTTATTCGATGGTATTTTTATCAGTTAGTTCACGAAAGATCGAATGTACGTGACTTTCGTACCGCGATAACGTTTAAATTTAGAAGTTCATTTTATTGAGTTGAGTGGTGAAGGAGCCGCCCTTGCATTTCTATGCGGATTTTACGAGAACTTGAGTTATTTTCCCACTGGAATTCATACGACCTTCATTAGTCCTAGTTGCTGCAATTGGCCTGAGAAGTGTTGCGTATTACCACTAATAAACATTAGTAAACAGATCAATTTAAGGACGATGCAAATTCTATTTTTGACGGAATCCAACAAAAGACTACGTCAATTGTTCTCGTTGTTTTTCTTTCCAGACTTCACCGATTGTTGATAGACATTGGGCGAGAAGAAAAATCCACACCGCGGCCGCGTCATTTCCACACTCTAACAAAGACACGGTTTTAGAGCCCCCCTTTTTTATTTAAGCTTGATTTTGTTTTAGGACTGACAGTGCTAACACAAACACTAGTAGAAAGATGCCGAGTTCCGGGGTAGCTGAAGAAACAGCCCTTTTGGGGTAAGCTAAACTAAACAAGAAAAAAGAAAAGTTGATCTTTTATCAACTATAAAAATAGCCCTTAGTTTATGAATTATTACTTATTAATTAAAAATGCACGTTAACTTGCTGCATCTTGACGCATTGCAAAGATTTTTTTGCAGGAATCGAAAAATACAATAAATTCTAATAAAAACAAAACGACCAATTTTTTTATATGATCCGATTTCCCTTCGTTCTTCATCGATGAAGAGATGACTTATTCATTTTTGAAGCGTTTTACCTAATTATTATTTTACAGCACAATGCCATCTGACAGCATGGACGATATCGAGCTGAAGAATATTCAGCTACAATTTCCGACCACGAGGTCGATGTCCAGGGATGACTCAACAGCCGTTGAAGAAACCGTAGAGACAGATCGCGGACCGATAACAGTTGCCGTTCAAGGATGCAAGACAAAACCAGCCATCATCACTTACCACGATCTTGGATTGAATTGTAAGTCATTAATTTCAAATCCCTTTTAAGTTTAAGTGGATAACATATCTTGTTACTTAAGTGGGTAGAGACTTGTGGGTTGATGAGAATAAATAATATAAAATAAATTCTGTCATTGATAATATTATAGTTGTTATGTCGCAATACTTATTGATAAAAATAAGTAAACTCGTGATAGGACTTTAAAAGATTCGAGAAAATATAAACAGTCTAGATAAGATTGTTTTCAATTGAAAAGTTTACTATAATCTTTCTTAAAAATGTTTCTATAGTAAATTTAATAATTTCAACGATTTTATTTTTAAATTTTGGCAACGTTATACAATTTCAATGTGGTAGGTCATAAAGACTATTTAATCTGGCCGAATTTAAATTCGTTTATTTATATTCTTGTTTACATACCGGCAAAAACATAGTTGATGTGTATAAATAATATTTTTCAAAAAGATATTTTCCGCTGTTATTCAAATTATATAAAGTATAAATAAAATATAGCTATGTCATAAATATTCATAGTTATTGATTTATAGATTATTTCCTTTTTTCACGAATACCTTTTATCTAACATCACTGTGTTAATAATTTCGACAAAATTTCCGACCGATTACATCAAAATTTGTTTTAATCATTACTCTGCTTCGATACATCTATTACTTATGGTATTGAATCGAATATTTTAAATATGTTTTAGTTGTCCAATTTATCAATATAATTATACTGAAAAGTTGTCAGTTAATTACATGTAATTTGTTAGCAACTCCTAATAAGCAGAATAACTCTGTGATACTTTTCTGCCTGACCAAAGTTGGTAAACAACAATTACTTAATTTTAATTATTTTAATTAGGTAGCTTTTTAGTATATTCTCGAGGCAACGATATCCCCAGTTTATAAAGTGATTGTAAAGGTGGGTCGTAATTTTTAACGTTTAAAAAACGGGTCAAATCTGGTGCACGCGATAACAATAAATTTGTACCTATTCAGTTAAATGTTACTGCGTTGACGTCACCTAATAGGGTCGCTCGTTATGCTGCTTGAAAGATCGTTACTGCTCGTCATCATGCAGTTGTTTAAAGAAGAAATTGAAAATTCGACGGTAACGTTCTCCTGTAATGGTATCTTAAAAAAGTAATTGGTCCAATCATTTTTCGCCTTAACATCCCCACTTTTATCGGATACAAATTGGTTCTGGTGCTATAACTTAGAATCATGGGAATAACATATCTTGATGAATAAAAGCAAACTTGATCATTAAAAAAGTTTTGGCGGACTGGTTTTGATGTTGACAAACTTGACCTAACTGTTTGAGAATGCTGTGCTATAGATATTTTTTTAAAACACTATGTACCACAGTCTTATGTAGTGCATAAAGTAAACATAACTCTAATTATCACTCAAACAAATATGTACTAACAAATACCAACCGTACTCTCAACTCATAACAATTAATAAGAATGATAAAGAATGTTAATGCGGTGCAGGAGAAGCCGCTGCCATCATATTTGAAGCTTATTTCCTGGCGGAAGAATTCAGAATTCACATTTTGAAACCCAGGGACCTTGTACTACTTATTCTGCTCTTAGTTACTATCAACTATCATTTGCTACTTGAATCTACTCTACTTGCTGCTTGTATAATGTATTACTTTATATATAGTCATGTTATATCTTAATGACAAGTGAATAGACAAATCTGGTCCAAAACACTTTGAAACTTGATGATTATCTGGTGACAGAATAAATTTGAATTTACCTTATCAAATCCAGGCGTCTAATATTAGAATTATTTACACTTTTTTAGAGTTACATCATAATTGGCACTTTTTAACCCTTTCGTTACGGAGTATTTTCAAGATCATTTATCAAGAACATATATACAAAAACGTATGCGTACGCTCTTAGTAACGAAAGGGTTAAATGTTATTACTACACATCGGATATATGCACTAATAATATGACAAAATTTGCATGCAATTATGCTTTAAAAAGGGGTCAAATATGCACTATAAAAATGCCAATTTTGATAAGTTATAGTAATTGTATAAGGATTGGTATAAATTATTACTTTTTTTGTTTGAATTTATTTCAAGAAATCAGTACTAATTACGGTTAGAGTAATGTCACAATGTGTAATTTTTGCTATAATACACTACCACATATGTTTGTAAGTTCTCTGGAGCAAACTTGTGACGTTTGTCCCCTAATATACTGAAGTCATTGGACAGAATTTAAAATATGGCGTAAAAATGCATTAATTTTCTTGATTTCTTCGATGCCTGGGTTTTTATGTAGTACAACATTTAATTTACCAGGAACATTTTACGATAGTGATATCGGAAGGGCATTTATCTTTTTGACAATTTTGTCTAATATTTCTGTAGACTTGAATAGAGGAAGGTTTCGAGTTTCCATTTTTTCTATGGCGTCGGGTATGTTGCTGAAATGAGTTATAATTAGAGCTATATTTTGTTTGATGGAAGGTTCTTCAAATGCTAATTGACTTGAATAAATTGCAATGAAATTGACCAACTACCTGTTTTATAGCCTCAAAATTCTCTGCATAAAACAATACAGCCTTCAACCAAGTACCCCGTCGCGTCATTACAGGTTCGAGAGGTAGTGCTTGATTTGGCAGTTGCTCTTTGTAAGCTTGTATACGCAATGGTGCTTTTAAAAACACTTTCTTTATCAATGAAATCAATTTATTAACATTCGGAAACTCTTTCCTAACTTCTTCTGCAAATCGGTGGAGTCCATGTGCTAAACAGGTGACATGTATTAACTTTGGATAAAACACTTGTAGAGATTGTCCAGCTTTTACCATATATGGAGCAGCGTCAGAAATAAAAACACATATTTTTTTATTAATAGAAGAATCGGGAAACAATGATTTAATGGAATCATTTATGAATCGAGCAATAGTTGAATGGTTTGTTTTCTCTAGGGTCCTACAGGCAACCAAGTGGGGAGTGGACGACTCCTTGGATAGTTTCCCTATAATCATATTCGCTATATACCGTCCACATGAATCTGTCGTTTCATCAGCTGATATCCAGAGCAAATTGTTTGCAAGATCAACACGGATTTGACTTAATACATCTTAATAAATTACTAACAGGTAGTTTTTTCGAATCGTAGATTCTTCAGGGACTATCTGATTTGTACGGTACTTCTTAAGGAATATCTAGCATGCAGGATTATTTAGTTGATGAAATGGAATATTGCAACCAATAAAAAACTCACATTAATCTTTATTAAACTCATTTTTTTTTGAGGAGGCCGAAGTAGTAGGCGTAATTAGAGTCAGTAGTTGTTGTTGACTTGTTGAAAGGTTATTTCTTGCTGCTGCATGGGAAGCACTGGAAACATGTTGATCAATCTGATATTTTTTCGAAGAAGGTATTCGCTAATCAACTAAATTAAATATAAAGAAAAACAAAAATTGTTAACTATCACTTATACTCTGACCAGATCAAGGCGAGGTATCGGGATACTGAGATTGCCAGTGTTGAAGAGATATTGTTTCTGGGTTGGAAAATGAATCCTGAACTGTCTTGGACCAATCATATTGATTTCCTTGATGGCAAGATCAGTAATTTCTCATATGCCATTCGGATTATTTCTAGATTAGCTGGTATTGAAGCAGCATTAAATGCCTATTATGCATATGTTCATTCCTTGCTAAGATATGGAGTTGTCTTTTGGGGCCGTGACATTGGTATAGATAGAATCTTCATACTACAGAAGAGGTGTGTAACAGCAATCTTTGGTCTAAAGAATACTAATAGCTGTAGAAGTTACTTTAAAGACTATAAAATACCTACCTTGTATGGAATTTATATTCTGGAATGTGCCGTATTGGTTAGGAAAAATTACTTTGAAATTACCGAAATTACTTAGCTATCTGGTGCCACCAAAAACGCACCTTACTAAGATTCAGAAGATGGCTCTGTACCAGAGTAATCACATTTCGGAGGGTACAAGGACCCTGCCAGTTCCAAGATTCCGGAGAAGCCTGAGAGCTATTGTCACGGAAAATCCGATGTATACCATTGACATGTTTTTCCAATTTAATGTTTGAATTCAATTTGTATTATATTACAATGTAATTATTGTTAAATTGACGCATTCTACGGTTTTTTGGTAAAATGGAGTAATAAAGTATTATTATTATTTCGACTTATTATTTCTCCAACTTGCAGATTACTAAGTTTATAGATGAGACTAATCATCGTCACAACAGTTATTTCAAGGTGTGTTACTCTTCTTACAGTACGTCTTCCTACAGTTGGGTTTTGATATTTTAATTGATTTTAGACACAACTGTCGGTGCTGGATCATCATAAATTCCTTGCACGCAGCTATGCATAATTCGATAAAATACAGACTTTGTTCAAGTCACATGTTTGTTTTAATTGATGCCATCCAGGTTGTAGTTCTTCAAAATATGCTTGCAGGCTCCAATAGGCATTCAGTATTTACCAATAGGAATTTTGGACATTGAACTTGAGTTGTTTTAGAGTCAATTTTTTTGTGTCCGAATCTACCTATTACTTTTTCTTTTCTCTCTTTTCAATCTTCTGGATTTCTTTGCTAATATTTTTATTTCTCAACAAATTCAGAAATAACTTTGTGTGCCTAATAGTTATGGTTCGTTATGGTTAGATTTGGACTTTTAATTGAAGGATAATAATGTTATGGAGGGAGTGATTCTGAACTTTTCAACGCCTTTACTATTAAAAAAACAACTTATTTATTCTTAAATAACTATTATTTAAAATAGAAGGCAATTTCCTGTTCAACAAATTATTTTCCATTAGAATCATTAAAAATTCCACAAGAAATATTTAAATTACTGATTTAAAAAATTTGCATTCCGTAATTTTCCTTAAAATAACAAATATTTCAGATATCTCCAGTTTCCAAGCATTCTTCAATTACATCGATATGCGCGTTTTGATGGAAAACTTTTGCGTATACCATATAAACGCGCCGGGACAAGAAGAAGGAGCTCAAACACTTCCGGAAGAGTACGCAATTAAAATTTTACATAAATTTATTTTTATTCATCAAATATTTTCTTTAGTTATGTTTATCCAACAATGGATGAACTTGCCAATCAAGTGGAATTTGTCTTATCCCATTTCGCATTGAAATCATTCATAGGATTCGGAGTAGGTGCAGGTGCAAATATCCTCGCTCGTTATTCGCTAAAAAATCCCAATAAAGTGGCCGCCCTTTGCCTCGTAAATTGCGCAAGCACAACCGCCGGTTGGATCGAGTGGGGGTATCAAAAGCTCAACGCAAGACATTTAAGATCAAAAGGAATGACGCAAGGTGTTTTAGATTATTTGATGTGGCATCATTTTGGAAGGGTAAATTTGATTACTTTTTGAAGTTTTTTTTATTAAAAAATTTTTTTAAAGAACACTGAAGAAAGAAACCACGATTTAGTTCAAGTCTACAAAAGTTATTTTGAGCGCAACGTGAACCCAACAAACTTGGCATTATTCATCGACAGTTATATTCGTCGCACGGACCTAAATATTCATCGCGATACGGATCCAGGAAAAACGAAAGATATCCACACGTTAAATATGCCCGTTTTAAATATTACGGGAGCTTTGAGCCCGCATATTGATGATACGGTGACTCTTAATGGAAGATTAGATCCTAAAAATTCTTCATGGATGAAGGTATATTCTTAAATGAGGATTATTAAATCATAATGTGGATTTTTTTGTAGATTTCTGATTGCGGAATGGTCCTTGAAGAACAACCTGGAAAAGTTTCTGAAGCCTTCAGACTTTTCTTGCAAGGCGAAGGCTATGGTAAGTCTTAAAACGTTATTTATAAGAATTAATTTAAGAAATAAATATACAAAAATAAGCCGCTATTAAATGTGTGTAATGTTAAAAATTAATTGGGTATTGTGGGTATACGAGTGTACAAAATATGTTATTTATGTAAAGGTGGCATTTTTTTAAAACCAAATTTTTCCCCACTAATTCTTATGATTTAATTTTTTACTTCTCACTGTTTTCAATACGATAGAACAACGAAAAAAAAACAAATTAGTTTAGCGAAAATACACGCTAATAACACAGGCTTACGCATACAAAAACTACAACAAATACTTTAGATCTTACCCGCGACAGATTGTTAAAAACACTTCTGCTCGTGGGTAAGAAATTAATCACTTAATAAATAACACCAAATTTCAAAAGAAAAAAAAAGACACTGAGTTCCTATTTTGTTTTTACAATATTTGCGTTGCATTGGAAAAATTGCTCGAATGGTACGTATTCAATGATTTATTATTAATTTTTTTTTCTGCTTGTATTCACCTTCGGTGTCTATGAACGTTATGTGACCCATTACGCTTGGTTTGATTAATTTTTTTGTTATATTTTCAATTCATAGCTGGATCGGTGAAACTGTACCCAAAAATCGAACCCGTCTTAGAAAAATATTAAAACAAACTAGTTTTTTTCAGTCAATATGCTTACGTATTTGTGCTATAAATACGGTGTAAAGACTGTTTTATGATTTTAACTAGTAAAATATAAATGGTTGCACAAATCCTTGTATAAAACAGTCTTTCCCTGTAGTATTCTTTTGAAAGAAATGCCCTAAATTATTTTTAATATCTCTATACTCTTGTATTCCCTATTTATTAAAGTGAGCTTTGTGATTCTATATACACTTTAAACAAATATTTAAATGAAATTAGATCTCGTGTTAACCCCATTTATCTACAATTATCTACACAACTTGCATTATAGCTTGATTGTATTTTACAATATACATAATATAATATGTCGTGTTATATAAAAATAAAAATGCATTTAAATCGTATTGGTACAGATTCATTTATCTCAAGTTAATTTATGGTTAACGTAAGTTTTTAAATAATTTTTAATTTAGTTTCTGCAGTTTGATTTGATGGTAACCGCACCGTAAACCATTTGCGCAAGCCTATTACAATTTAATTTACATTTTTTACCTTTCAGCTGTATATACCAAGCCCCCGTACCCGTCGCTAGTGTATTTTTAATAAATTATAATCTATTCTTGACTTTCTTTATCTTTTTTTGTTAATATCAACATTATTTTATTACTTTTGCTATATTAATGTTTGTGTATTATTTAAATTTATTTTTATAAATTGACGTGGATAACGAACACTAGCATTGGGTAAGGAAGCGCTTGCCAGAAAGTAAATAAGCGGATGTAGTGAAGGCTGTGATGTTGTTTTAGCCGTTCGAGTGAGAAGGCGAGCGAGTAGCGCTGTCTCAGTTGAAGGTAAATGTTAAGTCCACAACCCCCGTTCTTTGGTTTCGATTCAGTACCGAAAGTTCAATGTAAGTTATCTAAATTTTATTTTATTTCTTTTTAAAACCCTCTTAAAAAATACTTACCACTTTTAATTTTTACTGATTGACTTAAAGTATGCAACCGATGTGATTTATTCCGTAACTTTTAATCTTTATTATATTTCTTAATTAATCACAAAACTAAATTAGGCTATAATTATAAATAATAGGTAATCAGGAATTAGTAAAAGATTTATTGGCTTATAAAATAATTATGACGCATTTCCAATAAATCTTTTACTCTAATAAAAAAACCTCAATCGTCACAATCTACATAGTGTACTACTGGACTTGCAGATAATCCACTCCTGATACCGAATATTCGGATTTTTATGGGAAATACTGAATAAATAAGTAGGTTTGTCTTCTCACATTCAGTTTATTGTGTTAATACCAGTAAGAATCAACTTCACCGAACTGCATGCACCGAACGGAATGTAAGCTTTTTCTGATCTCCTCGAAACATACGCTATTAGACTGACTCGAATAGTGTCTGATGACTTCCACCGTCACCCATACTTATTATACAGAGTGGAGAAGTCAAATTACAAGTAATAAAAGTATTAAAAAAAAGAGAAAAATTGTCACTTTTGTTAAATCATTTTTTCAAAACATGCTGTATATAATGTGCTTTTTTATATCCTTAAATATTTCGTCTCCTAATTCAATTTTTGACTTTGTAAGGCAAACAACACTTTATATCTAAGCTTTTAATACAATTACCTCGAAATAAAAACTTTCCACACCAGAAACTATATTTCTCAGAATCATCACTTATAACATCTGCGCTGAGGTCCATTGAATTAAATAAAGATTTGAGGTAAGAAAGATGGTCATCGATGATATTTTCTGGGGGACCACCATGGTTTAAAACAAAAAATATTTTTTAAAGTTTTTTTAAATCAGTCAAAAGCAAGAACAGATGCAGATAGTTGCAAACTTGTACAAATTGCTGTTCACAAACCAAGCAGCAGAAAACATCATAAGAGAACTTTTTGGATACATTTCAAGTTAATACACAATATATACAGCAATGTGTCCATATCAGTGAAACTGCATAAAGTCACGAATCTTGTCCAAATGAGCAAAGAAGTACAACAAGGTGATGCGTTAATGCTTAAACTATTCACCGCAATACTGAAATATGTAAAATACTCGATTGGGATATACTTTTGTTGTCTGACAATGGACATATGCTGCATGACTTCCACCTAGTATGAACCAGCGTGGGGCTCAAAGCAACACAACTAAATCAAAATGCATGACGAACCTAAGCAGTTCCTTGTGAAAACATCAGCATTGAAGATTACAAGTAGAAAAGTACATATGCCTTGGACACGAAATAAATATTTCGCGAGACAATCAGATATACGAATTGAAGAGAAGAAGAATAAATCTTGCATGGACAGCCTATGACAAACTCAATTATATCTTCAGAAATGACTTGCTAATTTGTCTAAAACGCAAAATATTTAACCAATGCGTATTACACGTCATCACACACGGTGCTGCAACATTACAGAGCACTCAGGATAGAGAGAAACCTGTTGCCTAAGAGTTTGCATAATGTGAAGCATTTTTTCATGGAAAATGTTGAACCATATACTGCCCCGTTGTATGTTTTGGGGGACGGACATATTTCTCGGCAGTGTTCTGGTACCAGTGTTGTTAAATACCCGGGTATTTATTGTCAAAGGAAAAATTCCCTGGATATATACCCGGGAGTATTTACCCAAGATGGGTATTTAGAGGTATTTATAAAATTTGATTTAAATTGAGTTGATGGCAGTTTTGCAAGTACTTCAAGAATGCAGAGTCCATTATCGATACACCAAACTTATTTATAACATTTACAAGAATGCTACAATGACGGTAAAATTGCATGAAAGTACTGCCCGAATACCCATTGGGCGTGGGGTAAGACAAGGCGATATAATGTTGAACCCAAATTGTTCATCACAGTCCTGGAGAGTGCATTTAAACAACTAGATTAGACCCAAAAAGGTATAAACATTGATGGCAATACCTAAGTAATTTGCGCTACGCGGACGATATAGTCCTTATTTCGGATAGCCTTGGAGATATGAAACTGATGCTGAATGTATACAGGAGGCGTGTGCAAGTGTCGGGCTAAATTTCAACAAAATTTAGGACAAATCTTGTTCCAAGCTCTAACATCAATATTGGTGATAATGAATACTTCTATCTTGAATACTTTCGATGGTATGTTATTAATCCCTGATGCCTTTCCATGTTTTGACGCAGTGATTACGTTTATTTCCAAATCAGTTTCTATGCTTAATAGATTTTGGAAATAATTTTTCCAAATGTCATTCATTTCACTATCACATATTATTTTTCCTGTTCCATCTCAGAATAGAGGCATATTTATGCCTTTGTCTTAACTGTCTAACAAATTTATACACATTCCTGGTGTTATTAGCTTTAAAGTGTACATATATTTCGGGAAAGTTTATATTTTCACTACCGACCATTCTCGTTTACGTAATACTCTTCGAAAATATTTAACGATTTCTTTAATACTTGAAAAACAACTTTGGATGTCCTGAATTAAGTATAAGTCTAATATTAATGACTAAGTTCAGTTTTTGTGCCTCATTAATTCTTGTTGTTTAATTCTTTTCTAGTCATATTGCACTTTCTTCAAATCCAAGATCCATGAGATTGTTGATTCCAATTGAAAGTGATGTAGTTCGTTTAAGATCTTATTATTCTTCTTCTTTTATTCAGGTTGTAACCTGTTTTTTACGCATCAGTCATGGTGTTTCATTAGAGCTGGAAATCCAACTTCCTGGTCTCCCGTGATCTCTTTCTAGCTAATCTTTGGTCTCTTGCTGTCTTAATCAGCCAGGTTTCTTCCATTCTTTGGAAGTATTCATTAAATTTTATTTTTCCCCTAGCAAATCTCATGACATATCCGAATCCACAAAATTCTCCTACAATTTTGTTCCTAACCCTATCTCATCTTGTATTTTCCACTATTGTTTTTGAAGTACTCATCTCAGTTGGTTCGCATCGCAGCCATATATCTTGGCCATGAGGTTCGTGTATCAAGAGATAATAATCAAACAAGCGAACTAAACAGAAGGATGATACTCGCATGGGCAGCCTACAGGAAATTTAGAGACATCTTAATGAGCGCTATTCCTGTATATTTGAAAAGAAAGGCTTTCAATCAATGCGTGGTTCCTCCTTTGGTTATGACATACGGTTCCGAAATTTTAACATTAACGGTGGCCATTACCAGGAGGCTCAAAGTAACGCAAAGAAAGATGGAGAGGTCGATGCTGGGTGTAACCCTGAGGGACCACATACGAAATGAAGACCTACAAAGAGAAACTGGCGTAAATGAGGCGGTCAACATTGTGGCAAAGTTCAAGTGGAACTGGGCGGATCATCGTCCATTCAACGTCTTCAACGCCCATTTCATCATGTTCCTCTACATTTTTGTCCGAATCTGTTATATTTTTACTTGTATCACTTTTATATGTACTACCTAGGTATTTACCCCGGCCCAGGGTAAATACCCACCCATTTTATAAATACCTACCCGGCGGGTATATACCTAGCGCCCATCACTGTCTGGTACTAATCTAGATATAATAGCTTTGTTGGAGACTCCAGCAACTTCTACTTGGTTGGAAGCTCTACAGATAGTACTTGTAAGCAATCGGGAAATGTACTTTTCTTGGCTATAACTCCAAAAAAACCTTAAATAATTAAATCTACCTCTATCGAAATGTTCAGGTAACAAAATATAAAGAAATCTCATTCATTCAGCTAAGTAACACAAAACCCTTACACCATATTTAATCAGCCATAATCCTCTTCTCTTCATCTCACTGCTACTAACGTTTCCTCTTAAACTTCACTCATCATATTTCGTTTATAAAATAACATTCTAAGCATCTCTACTTGATACCTGGGTACTACATTCACGTCATAAGCCAGATCATCAGCATTTTCATTACTAATAAGTAACCAGTATGCGAGAATGCATGTTCAGGATCCCTTACTAGTACTATAGTGATCCCTCCTGACGCCACCAACTCTAATTCTTTTAATCTGAATATCATCTCACTTATGCACATTTTAAATTCGTCCACAATGGCAGTTATTATCTCACTGGTATTAAGTATTCAACCAAGACATAAACATGATAAAGATAGAAATGAAATCAGATCTCTTAACATCAGGTAAACGATGAATTCGGTGTAAAAAATTAAACTTGATATACAATTTTTCTGTTTTATCTAATACTAATATATAATTTGATTACTTCAGTCTGTACTTAATATAAATCTTTATTTGCATGCTACTTTGTATTATTTCTACCTAATAAGATTATAATAATAATTAATCAGTATTATAATTTATTATTGTGTGCCTTTTATATTATTTTAATAGAAACTTATTAATCTTATTTTTTTTTCTAATTTTTTTATTGCAAAATAAATTGATGAAATTAATATTTTTCAGTTGCTCCATTGTCTCCTGTTAAGATCGCCCAGTTTCGTAAAGCTTCACTGGAAGAATTATTGAAAGAAAAGTTTCCGAACGGGCAGTGGTTAACGTCGGTGATTCATATCACCGAAAACCCCATTTCTGCCGTCGTTTGCTAAGTTAGAAATAAAATTAAAATGAACTAGAGGCGAATGGATTGCGACAGCTTCTAAAAATTGCGTTCGTACTAAAATTTCTACTCTCAAAATTTTGTTTTCAAATCGAAATTCGCCGGACGAAAATAGACATCATGATGACGACGAAATTTTAGTACGACACGTTTTATCCACATTTGGCCACTGCCCCTTTTCGTAAAAAAAGCACACATATCTTATGTTTAATAAGTTTTTGTAAACAACTCTACATACGATGACACGTAATATAATTATTATCGATTACGGTACAATTTTTATTAACATTGATTAAAAAAAAAAATCAATCATTTGATGAAAACAATTATTCTAAAATTAATTATTAAAAAAAATATTATTTAAAGATATTGTTCACGCAGTATTGGACAGCATTTTAGATATCGTTCTTACTTATAACCGATAGCGATTGCTTGAGAGGCCTCTGTATTGTTTATTATTTCGTGACGACCTAATGTTTTTGTAGTTGTAGAGTAATACTTATTAAAAAAAAGGGTAGTTAATCGAGCTTTACTTGTTGAATAGTGGGAAAGATGCCAACACACGGTTATTAAAGCAACAAAATGTTATATTTGCCGATTATCTCGAATAAGTAGATATGAAAATAAAATTTAAAAAAAATATCGATACGCGCGAATGTCTTTTCGGTGACTTCTACCTATTCTGTTAAAAAAAAACGCTGTTAAAGAAAAACGGAAAGTATATTATTGTATAGAGGAATATTTTATCGCCACGTTAAATATTGTAACGTAATAATTTTTGTTTAATTTAAGGTGAATTGTTGTGATGAGGAATATATATTATATATTGTGCCTAACTTTGTTAAATTATTTACGTTTAGCACTTGATTTTAATAAAAATGTTCTCGAACATTTATTTGTTTTTTTTTTCTATTATATAAAAAATTTCTAGAACTTTATTTTGAGCCAATTTTTTCACGCTATAACGAACGCACAGTATGAAGTTGTGATGCAACAATTTAATTACACTTGTTAAATTTAATTACCATATTTAAGTAACAAATTTCGTGAATAGATCAATGAGGAGGAACAAAAACAATGGGACGATAATTCTCTACAAAATTACTGTGTAATAGAAATTTTAAATTATTGTTTCATTAATAAACTGGGATTCGATAATTAAATTGTATGTATAAAGGAGTAACAAAGACAAGATCACAAACTTGAATAATTACTGCTTATTTATTTTTTTCAATTGGAGTACTTTTAAAAACTCCTTCCAAGATGCATGGTTTTAAAAAATGGCTTTGTTTTGATGCGTCTTTAGATGTGGTGCCTTTTTCCATCAATCTCCTGATCATTGCTGATCATCCTTCAATAGAGCTTAATATTTCCATGTCAAACACTACTTAAAATAGAATTTTTTTTTGTTTTTTTCCGCAAAAAAAGATGCTTATAATTAGTAGTTTAAGATGCTTATAATTTAAGTGTAGAAACGTTAAGAAGATACTTTAAACTATAATCCATAAAAATAAGAAGAAAAAATGGGATGAAATGACGGACGACGTCAAACAAGTACCCTGATACCTTTGGCTATAAACTTACTTTGGATCAAATCTCGGCTATCGCAGAACTTGATCTTGGCACTGATAGCAGTGCTAGTCGACACATATTTTCCAAACGACTCAAAAGTAACAGAACCTGTCAAAATGGATGAAGTTCCTCTAATCATGAAAGTTGAACTACATACAACTACATTAGTGGCAAGAAAAAAAAACAAGAATATAGTCTGCCCGGAAAATTTCTAGTGACAGTGGTTACGATACAAGAAATCATCCTGAATATGTTCAACACTTGTCTAAGGAGGTCCACTTTCTGTAGCAGGTGTGGCAAATTTCTCAATCTCTTCTTCATATAAACCTTTGTGCTTACTGAAGACAGCAGGGACATTATGATTGAGATGATGAAATTATTTGTTACTACTAAACTCTGGAACATCTTATTACAACAGAGATATTATGAAGAATACTGTTAGGCGTCACGAATGTTTTTTGAATTGAGGGTTGACCTTTCACCACGTTATGACCTTAAACATTGAAGAAATGGAGAAAAGGGTGAAATTGGACTGTATAAAGAAGATAGAATCGTAGCGTAGTAAGAAGAGCGGTTGTTTACAAGAACTATATAGAGAATCAGTTATGCGGAAGCTATTTCACGCACAAAAGCTGAGCTTTCCGCTGGATAGAGGGCTAAGACTCCGGACGTGTTCCGCTTTATGGTTACGGTGAAGACAGTTATGGAGCTTACAGAATACAATGCCAGAATTGAGGAAAGAAGTAAATGGGAAGATAAGTTGAAGACTTTCGAAAGAGTAAAGGGGTGGCAGGATACAAACTTGAGGAGGGTCATAAAACTGAAAGACTGATATGGGGATGGTGAGAGAAAGGGAAAAAGGTCCTTGTTACTGCCTAAAGTTAAAATATATCTGGCGCATATTCCAACGACCATTCTTATTGGAGATGTATTGGTAAAAAGTGGGATAGAGGCTGGGAGGTACACGAAGAAAAACTTGGGAGTGGAATACTCCAGGCAGAGTATTATAGAATAGCTAAAGGCATACAGCGGCGACCGATGCTATGCAAATAGTGTCCATCATCCAGCCGCTGTTTCTGGGCACCAAACACATACATGGGAGGAGGTCGAAACAGTAAGGGGGGAATGGGAACGGGAATGTATGGGTGCAGAATAGTTATTCTGTGGTATAGGCAATACGGGAAAAGAAGGTGAAAGTGTGAGAGGGTAGTGTTGATGTATTCTGTACTGTACTGTAGTTCTAGGAATTGAGTGGGTGGCTTGGAATGGGAGGAGGTTGTATGTGATATACAATGACAATCTTGCTTACCCGTGGAATGAGTGTGCAGTAAGAAGGGTCTAAATGTTGAAAAGTATAACGTGGTTATGGGTTGTATGGCAGCATGCAATAAAGGTATGATTGTGAGAATAAGATGGATAGGTAGAATGGTGGAGGGTATGAAGATGACAAATAAAAGGCATGGAGTTTGACTGGGGATTTGGGAATGCATGTAAGGCGAAAGAGTATATAAAAAAGGAGGAATACGTGAAACATGGGTACATAAATGGAGTATGTCAACGACTAGAATAGGGATGTACGGCGCTTTCTTGATGCTTTCAGATATTAAAATGGAAGGGTAAGATATCTATGACCCCAGGGACTTACAGCTGATGGCTCATTCAATGTTTATGTGAGAAGATTTTATTTGAAAACAACGAATGGGATGTGTGCGTGTCAGGCGAGGGAAGATACTCCCCAGTATATTTTTCATGAGTTTGTGGAACCAAAGAATGGAATGCAGAGAGAAAATACTAGGGTAAGAGTGAGCTGATGAAGATTGTGGATGTGGCAGACATGCGAGATTGGGGCATTAATCTAACAATGTTTTGCAGATATCGTTTATTTTCCTTTAGGTAGTTGTAATTATTGGTTTGGAATAATGTTACTTTTAGTTGTACAGGATGTATTAAAAAAATGTACTCACACTTCGAATGACGTGAAAAACATTATTTATGAACATAGAGTGATATGGAATGGCTTCGAATACAGAACAAAATGTTCAAATTGATGACTGTTATTGTCCAGATAACGCTGATAACGCGCACCAAAGGATTTGCAAACGTTACGCAACAGGTCATTAGGAATATTGCGACATTGTCTTTCACTTTCCAATTTCAATGATGCCCAATGCGGATATCCCACACCACAATGTTACTCCTGGTAATATTACATGATGTTCAAGTGTTACATGAGGATTTACAGGACTCCAGTACGCGCAATTATAGCGATTGAGCGAGCCACTTAATTTAAAGGATGCCTCATCGCTCCACACAAATTTGTGTGGAAACCCTGCATCTTCTTCACATTTTGCCAGGTACCATTCACAGAAATGAACTCTCCGGTCGTGATAGTCTTCGTTGAGAACATGTCCGTGGTTCTCCAGAACGTTCTTGTTGACGTTCTAGACGATTCCATCTGCTTTTCTCTGATGCGAGCAATGATCCGTCGAGTTGGTGACCATTTTGCGAATTTCCTTCTGAATCGTCTTTGCACTTCAATGGCGTTTTCGGGTTTCCAGTAACTTCCATCCTGATGAAGAAGACAGAACTAGAAGTAAAATATAGGACAATGTATTGGCGCATTGTCAATACATTGTCCTGTACATTGTCAACAATCTGTGCTGACAATGCATAATAAATTGCTCATTTATGAGTGAGTCATTAAACCAGTTTGGGCCTAAAACTGTGAGATTGTTTTAAAGCAAGTAATATTAATATTATACAAAATTCTTGAGGTCTTGAGGTTGTAACCCCGGTGAAAGAAGAAATTCAGAAGTGCGCTCAACAGCACGAATAAGGACATATTTATCATATCAATCAGGAAGCCATCCACTTCTTAGCCAACAGCCAGTTAGTACACAGACTAGCCAAACAGTGTGAGTTGATGTGTGCTGCTGTGAAAGTGGACAGAAAGCAACTAAAATAGTTTTTATCAATGTATGGAAGGCATCAACAAAGTAGAGGACCACGGAGCGAAATTCTGGTGTAAAAGATAGGTTTTAAGATAAATTGCTCATTAGTCCACAGATTAGATGTTGTGTCCCTGCTGACGAAGTACAGAATGCATATGCTTTGTAAGCCCCGTTGGTCAATATCAATTCCTTAGAACACTATTTGGGCATTTCAATTCATCAGCAACATTAATAGAGATGAAATCATTTTAACATACGTGGATGAACAAAGTTCCTCTCTTGCAAACTAAGTTAATTTCCTGCCATGTTGAGATTAATTAATTACACCTGTAATACAAAAAAGGCAGTATGTTACCGACAGTTAAAATGTGAGTACAATTTTTTGAGACACCTGTAGTTATAGCTTGATTCTATATAAAGCAATGATATATTATGTTGTAATTATGAGATTATTTTGAATTATGCTCGTATTCTTTTACATTTTACATAATAAACTCTGCCCCCGCTAAGATTTCAGAGGCAGATGTGCTGGGTCTCTTGGTGATGGTTTTGTTGGATAAGAATTGACCGCAAGCAGAAAGGCGGTTTTCTCATGCAAACGTCATGTGCTTGGCACGCAAAGGTTATGTTGTTTACGTTGTCTTTTGCAAAGTATTAGAAATGTGTAGCTTATTGCTACTTGCTTCAGTGTGAAGAGTCATCTTAAGCTATATTTCTACATTTATGACTTCTTCGCATCCACAAACAAATTCAACAAATAATTAAAATCGCTGTTATGTATCGATACTTTCATCAGCACTCGCAACAATAACATACTATATTTATGTTTAGTATTTTAATCAGTCATAATTGATATCCTTCATTGTACTGATACTCTTCAGTACACCAACACTCTGTAACACTTCGATAAAGTTATTTTTAAACGATGATATTTCCACATGTAATATAATATGAAATGAAAAGAAAATAGATTAGATTTATAGTTCCAAGAATTTGATCAATCTGCTGACTTGATTACTTTTACAAGTTTTAAATTAAACATATTTTCATTTACACTACTACATTTGATAACCTCTTAACGTGTTGTTTAAATATTATTATATAAATAAACAGAAAGGTTAAGTACGTGCAATGTTGTTTGATTAATTAAGTAAATATTCGTATCCGCCAATTACAACAATATTTTGAAATAAATGTCTTCAAATATTTGCCTTCAAATTTTATAAATCCATTTCAAAGTGTATTTCACAACTTTGTATTTAATCTAACCATTAAAAAAAGAAACCACTTTTGAACTTCTCCTCCTCCTCCTA